GGAATTATTTCCTCAATTGCGGCCGGGTAAGCTGGGTGACCCCGCCCGTTTTCACCTTTCCTCTTCTCTTTTATTGTTCTCCATCTTTTGCGCGTTGTTAACACGAGTGAATATCAGACATCGATAGGTACAGTAACCTTTATCGAATATAATTGGATTCGCGTGTGGACAACACGCTCTGTAGTTCAATGTTCCACATAAATCTCGAAATCCATAAAAGAAAATCCATTTCACACATCGCCTTTATAACAAAATATCGGGCAGGTAATTAAGATTTAGGGACGGTTTGATAAATAAAATAATTTGAATGATTCAATGATCTGAATATTTAAAGGTTATATGAATTTTCTAAATATAACATGTTGTTTAATAATGATTCTGAATGTACAATTTGAATTATGAATATTTTCATTTTTACTTTTATATTGATTTATTATATTATAAGATATGATTGTTTAATAAGACAACATGTGAAAAAATATGTATTATGGTAAAATATCGGGTGCTTAATGATTCAGAATGTACTTTAATACTGAATCATTCATCAGTGTTTTGTTGTTTTATTTAGCATAGTCTTCATTCAATATAGTATTTATTCCGAGGTGAGAATTAAACACGCGCTGAATTACTCCATTCAACAATAAATCTTGAAAAAACCTTAAGTGTTCAAGTTGATTGGCTTTTCTCTATGTGATCTAATTACAATAAAAAATCCACATCGATACTTGAAGGTAAAAAAATATAGTATCACCAATTTAAATATACTAATATAAATTAAAATATTAAATTATACCATATTAAATCAAAAGGATAAATCTCATATTTTAACATATAAGGGGACTAAATAGAAATAGACCTTGTATATTACACGCGTATAATCAAAATTAATAAAATTAAGGAAACTCATAAAAAGGTGGGCCCGGTTATGTAACAATCCCCAGGCTGAAAATACGGGCAGCTTGACCGACCTTCTCGTCTTTCACTCTTTATATAGCAGACCCACCTTCTTCCCTCACTATCAAAAACCCTTGCAAATTTTCTCTGTTCTTCAACAACAGGGAAAAAATCCTTCAATTTTATTGTTTAACGTTTAAGTACTCTCATCAACGATGGCTCTCACAAAGGCTTCTCTAATTCTTTCTTTCGTCGCTTTTGCGCACTCATGGGTTCCGCCATCGCTGCTGAAGCTCCAGCTCCGAGTCCCACCTCTGAACTGGCTCTCTCCCCGTCATTTGTCGCCGCCGTTTCTGCCGCCGCTACGGCCCTGGTTTTCGGCTCAACTCTCAGGATCTGAAGGATGTAATATCTCGTGCTGGCGGGGATATGGTTGTGTGGTGTAGAGATGATTCTCTGTTTTTCAGTGATATATTTGAGTTTTTTTGGTATTTTAGATCGGAGTAGTAGATCTGGGGAGTATTTTACTAGAGTGTTAGGTATGCTATTTGATGCAGATTTATTGATTATCGATTTTGGACATGGATTGTTTTCACTATTATCATTGATTGATGTCATTTCTATTAGTATAGTGAAGTATATTTTTTACTATATATTTCATTTGTTTTCTAGTTTCTTTCCTTTGATGTTTAGCATTTTCTTGCGCTCTCTGCCTCCAAACAGTTTATATTCATTCATCTCATGGATTTGGAAATATCATATAATTCTTTCCATTTCCTCTTAACAAATTAAAGGTTTTACTAGTTTCTTTTCAAATTTTTAGTGTCTATTAAGTAAAGTATAAGAAGTCTTCGAATATTAATATTAGTGTATGTAGTCGTTAATTGAGCATTCAGCATTAATTAATTGATGATAATTTAATAATTGATATGATTATCTAAAAATGAGGTAAGATTTTTTTTTGAAGTCATGAATTTAAACATTAATAATTATAATAATATGATTGTTATTTAAATGATTGATAGTATTTAAAATAAATATTATTTATATTATTTAACTTAATAAAAAAATAGTGAAGTGTAATCCATCTATAAACGTAAATATGACCAAATATATAATAGTATTATTATTACTCGTACAAATTGAAAAATATCTTTCACAATTCTTTCTATTTGCTCTAATAATTAATTGGGTTCCTTTAATTTTGGATAATTACAGAATAGTCTTTTGACTAATGTGATATTTTGTTGAGTTTCAAGATTATTAAAAATTACAAAATTGTTTATCTACTATAAGATGTTTTGTGGAGTCTCGACTATTAAAAATTATAAATGATCTCTTATTTATTATATTTTAAACTTATTTTTTTCGTTAAAAATTGATAACAGTTGAGCTGGATGTTAATTGTTGATTGATATATGATATTTTTTAGATTATGAGATCAAATTTTATCATATCTCAAATCAATAAATTAACATTAATTTTAGACTGACATCAAATCTTCAACGAAAAATGATGAGTTTGTAATGTATTAAATAGTCGGATAACTATTTTATAATTTTTAATAGTTATATGATTCAACAAATAATTCATTTGTGTCATTTTGTAATTTTAATCGTCGAGAAACTCAAGAAAGCATCACCTTATAATTGGGGAACAATTGTGCACTTTACCCTTAATTTTTTAATTCTCTTTTCTTTAGATTATAATCCAATACAGCTATAAAAAGACGATAGACGCCAAATAATGAATGTTGGTTGAACAGATCATAATTCCAAAATTCTAGATTACGTGATTAAACCTCGAGTACTTTCAGGATATTGTAACTAAATTAAGATAAACTCAAATTTGGACCCATATGTAATTGTCAGTTTGCCACGTTGTGAAATAACATGAAGATTATTATTAATAGCCAGGAGATAAATTCTTACAGAAAAGATCGATGTCGTTTTCCTTGTCTTGTTTGACAGATGTCTTGTGTGGTTAAGAAAGTCGATGTAAATTTCTCAGTGTTGAATGTTGACTCGTTGTTGATTTTAGTCGGTTTTAGTGAAATCCGGTGCTGCAATTGGCCTTATTTTATGTAAATAGTTAAATTCTGGTTTTCGTACTTGGTGTTCTAAATTTCAAGTTTAGTCTTTGTATTTTAATTGGACATCTTTGTCACACATTTACATCATTGTCATGTTTAGTCCACATTAGTAATACTAAGAAAAAAAAATCCATCAACCCATTTTTGTGGGCTTTAAATAAATCAGGGTCTCGAAATCTTCTAAATTATGGGGAAAAGAGGTGAAGAATAAAACATCGTCTCACAATTCTCCTTCATTTGGTCCCCGGATATTGGTAACATTTTTAATACAGTCCATAAACTTGGGTTCTGTCACATTTTAAGTGTATGGTCAGTTTCTTAAGGCAAAGAAGAAAACACAGGAGTCATGTTCATATGTAAAAATAATTGAAATGTGTTTTGATTTCATTGGTCCGTCAAGTATAGGCGGGAATATATAACGTCATTTTCTTAGATAACGAGATCCGGCGGAGCAACCAAAGCCATCAAATTCTCACAAATTGACGATGACATGCGGACTCTTTGGTGGACAACACCAACACCTTTTTAATGCCTTAATCAATTGCATTCTTCCTTTTCTTTAAAAAAAAAAAGTAAAAAACATTTGCATTCTTCCTTGTGAAGGAAATTTCAAGTCTTCCAACCTTATGGAGTCACGTCAAGCGGTGAAGGCGTGAAATCTCTCTCTCTTTTTTGGCTACAAAACTAGCATTCGCTCTTATCCAGCCGTGACTCACAAGTCATCGAGTCAGTGAAAAACAGCGGTAATTGTTTTTTCTCTCAGATTGGGTAAATTACGCATTTAGTATATAAATTATCAATTTTAGTCCATTTTAGTACCTAAACTTTTAATTTTTTTCAAAATCATAACTAATGTTTAATTTTTATTTCATTTTAGTACCCAACTGTTAAAAACTTAATGCGTAGTATCTAAACTATCAATTTTGATTTGTTTAGTACCTAAACTTTAAAAACAATAAAAATTTATCGTTAAATTTTGAACATGAGTACTAAAATAAAACAAAACTAAACTTTAGGTATGATTTTGAGAATTTTAAAAGTTTAGATACTAAAGCAGATCAAAACTGAGAGTTTAGGTACTAAGCGCATAATTTGCCCTTTTAGATTTCTACTTAGACTTGTTATTAAAAGAGATTATTGTTGAGATTTGAATTTTATAATTAGTATGATATTAAGAATTAATTGTACACATTTTTAAATTATCATTTTATTTTAAATTAATTTTAAAATTTTTAATTTCATCTTTAAATTATAAATCACATTTTAAATTATTTTTTTTCAATTTTATCTCTAAATTGTAACCCTCTTTCTAATCAAAATTTTTTAATCTTCCAATTTCTTCCTCAAATCCATCCAAATGTGCAATTAGTTCTATCCATGGTTCAACTTAATTTTTATCAAACTTGTAATGGCATGGTTTAGCCTAACTTTTTTAGTAACAAGTGATGGGATTAGCATATATCAATAGTCTGGAATGAAATTGAGATGGTTAAAAGTTTGGAGAACAAATGATCATAGTTTAAGGATGAAATTGGAACATTCAAAAGGCTAGAAATCAATTAGAATGATAGATCATAGTTTGAGGATGGGTAAAGCAATTAACTCTAATATTAATTAGTATATAACCAATTTAATCAATTAAACTGCCGTATAAAATTGATAATCTTCGTTCACCTTGTATTTAAATTAGTAAAATAAACAATTTAGATCGCAATTATAATGATATTTAAAACAAGTATTTGTATTTTTTTTTTCATTTACAATAAGATAATTGCATCATACATCAGTTATATACAAACATTATTTTCTGATACAACACATCCTACCGGTATTTACATTAGGAGTTCTGGTACATGGTTGCTTGTACATAATTATACAAATAAGCAAATCACATAGATATTCATCAAAATGCAGCAGCATTCGGATTATTCGGAATACAAGAAATCACAATCCGAAAATATAACCATAATCCTAGCTTCGGCCGATAATATTTTTGCCGGTTACGCTAACTGTGTTGTTATGCAGTGAACCCTTTCTGAACAGAGCTCCAACGATTGTTAGGAATGCTAACACAAGCTTGTGCCGAGGCCTCGGCCATCTGTTCCGTCTGAATTCCGGCATTGCAGATGTTTGCAAGCGATCGCATGTGTTTCATCCCATACTGGGCTAGCGATCCGCAATGAGTCTCGAAAGTTCTCACCTGTTTTAGATTAACAACATGTGTTTTAAACTAGCACGAGAAAAGAAAACAAGAGCGGCTGAGAATCAGAGAGTATTTTACCATTTTCTTGAGGCATTTCCAGTCGTCTACGAGTGGTTGGCCAGCCGGTCGAACCGCACTCAAAATTTCCGGGCCTCTTTCTATTCCAAATAAAAGTTTTCCGATGAGTTTCATACTGTTGTCTACAAGCATTCTATGAGACATGACTTCAACAAATTGCTTCTGGGCTTCAGCCTTCCTAACAGAGCCCTCGAGTGCCTTGCGATACTGTAAAGTAGATCGGAGAGAAAGCTCCAAATTAGATAGGTTCTAAAACAAGCATAGTGACAACTTTCAAATGTATGAAATCAATAAAAACGAAGGCCTTTTAAAGAAATTGATGCGAAGGAGTGTTGTGTTTAATATATATTTATCTCAAGAAGAAACAAGGCACAAACCTTGGACCAAAAATGGACAAGATCAGCGTCACGCTGGTTAACAGCTTTTTTAGGTGGTTGGAAGTTCTCATCAACAAAGGTGAAGTTATCATTTTCCGGATTTGTGCCCAAGTATGCAAAGAGACTGTCCTTGCTAAGCCCTATATCACCATATTGCATGACATGAGAGCCATAAACATAATTGTCACCGATAGTCCTCTTTTTCACCTGCAAAAATCCCAAAAAATGGAAATTGTAAATCTCCCTTCTTTTTGCATATATCTTCATACTTTTTCGATCTAAACAGTAATCAATAACTACCACAACTGAAATTGAAATCTTTATATTTTCCTGATAAAAGAAAAGAAAAGAGTTCATGCAAAAACACTTTGTAAAAGCCTTACAACTTCGTATTGCTGGTGCAAACTCTCTGTCCGCAAATTATATGCGTCACTGCTCAACAGAAACAAGATATTAGGATTCACACCAAGGGACAACAAAAATAAAACAAAAGCCGATTCAGTTTTGAAAGATATTTAGTCAAGATCATACTAAAGAATCAAATTTACATGTATAACACCCACTTTGCCTCGGACTTTTTACATTTGTCTACTAACACTTTAGTTCAACAAGGTGCAGCCAAGAAACAAAATGAAGTTCATATCTGCAAAACTTGCTTAAATATGAAGAAAACAGATCTAGACAATCAGATTCAACTCTGAAATGATTGCATATTCAATATTGCCAAGGATAAATGAAAAGACGTATCTAATGAGAATACTTGAATACCAACCTGTCCTCCATCCAAGCAACACTGTATAAGTCTCCCAAGCATGTATCATATTCTGGGGGAGGACTTGGGTACTCTCCAGGACAATAGGTTCCCCAGCTATTCTCTTCGGCATTCGATGCTGTAGTAGCATAGATATTCAAACCCTCGGGAAGGAGACCCTCAAAGATACTTCCTGATTCACAAGCTTCAAGATAGAATACCTACAAAGTTACATGTGGACAAGAACTTTAGAACGGCAGAAAAGCAACAAGAAATCTCATTCAAAATCGATAATTATTAAGACATCGATTTACCAAGCTTTTATAGGTCCCTAAAGCATGTTTTTTCTTTAAAACATCAATCAAGTCATCAGCAAAGAGATAAGGCCAGGTGGGCATCCCTGTATTAACACAAAAGGAACCATTAGCATCTTTAGAAACAAGTACCAAATTGCAAACTGAAGACCATACTAGAATATGCAAGTAATAGATACAAAGCTAAGACATGATCAGAAAGCAACACGAAAGTAATAGCTAATTTGATATTACTGACCAAGAATACCAGGACCCCCATGGTCAGTGTAGTATATGAAGATATGATCATTAGGGCCACTATTTACAACCTTTCCACTACCCCCGGTGATTGCAGATTTGTTTCCGAGGATAGCCGCAAAAAAGTTGTTAACATTAACATCTATTCCAGTATAATCCTACAGAGCAACAACAAGGCAACGATCATAATCAGAAAATGTAAAATTAGAAACAACAACTTTTTTTTAAAATAAAGCAAACCTTTGGAACTCCCTTATAAACATCAGGTCCCTGAGGATTGTTAATGATAACACCAGGCCTAGGGTTTTCTACATTGAAAGCTATATCATCGTACATAAAGACGACGATATTCTCATCATTCAAACCACCGTTCCTTAGGAGTTGATAAGCATGACAAACATCAGCCTGAAATAATTATCAATACATTTTAACAAATTTAAGACCGTTCAAACAACAAACAAATTCACAGTAAAATGATAAGATAGATAAAAAAAATTGCCGAAAAATTAAACTAGTTTGACTTCAGGACCTCAAGTGGAGGTTGACGATGATCAATATTTTCAAAAATCATGTCAACGAGGAAAAAGAAGTTAATTCAGTGAAAGTTTTCTGACCTGATGCCTGTAATTCCAATAACCATTAGATCCTGCTATTAGGATCGCCCATTTAGTGCCACCAACTTCATCATCGTCGCTCCGGTGGAAGAACCTTGAAGCTTCCGACGGCAACCGGAGAACGTCTCCGATAACATTTCTAGTGGAAGAGACGATGCCGGCGACCGATAACAGGAGAAGGACTACACCGGTGACGAGATTGGTCATTGTTTGACGAATAAAAGGTAAATTGGAGATATGATTCAAAATTCATTGCTTTGCAACCAAGTTATATAAAATACAGATATTGCAGTGATATTGGCCGGCCCGGGATCTACGTTGGTTGATATAAAACTTGTGAATGCATCTGGAACGTTGACGATGGGACCCATAAGAACAACGGTCATGATGAGAGTGATGAAATGGGTGGTGGCCCAATTGATTCCGTGGGCTTTTGATTGGGATCCGCCGGGCCAAATTGGCCCATTAGGGCAATCGGATAATTAAATTAGCCCATTAGGGCACCCAAACAATTAATTTGGAATATACGGTAATTTGAACAGTTCCCATGGAACTCGTCACGCCGATGTGACGAGTTCCATCGGATATAATTTTTTAAATGGGTCGTGTTAGGTGGGTCTCACACCCGGATTAAAAAATTCTCAAGGTCCCAATTAAAAATAATTTTTTGTAATTTTTAAAATAAAATAAAAATAATATTTTATTATGAAATTTGAGCAATGCTGGTAGTATCGATACTACCTTGTGAGTATCGATACTTCTATTACTTTTGGTATCGGTATTCTTTTGGGTAATGGTATCATTTTTGCATTCTGGAATTTGAGCAATGATGGTAGTATCAATACTACCTTGTGAGTATCGATACTTCTGATACATGTGGTATCAGTATCATATGAACAATATCGGTACCATATGAACAATATCGGTACTACGTGTACAAAAACGTATTTTGTGCTCAATTCCAAGTAAAATGAACTTTTAATTAATTTTGAAAACTTTGAAACCTTGAACAAATTCAATTCAAGTCCAAAAACATTATGCTTTAATTGTTATATCAAAATAAAGTTCAACATTTTGTAATGCTTATTTTAACGTCCAACACGATATTTTGGAAGATGTGGACAATGTTTTCTATTATGACCTTCACCTCTGCAGTGGCCACAAAGTTTTGGTTGACCTGGCTCTCTTTGAGGATCATCCATACCGATATGAATTCGGCTAGATTCAGGTCGGCCCCGTAACTTCCTACGCAATCGAGGATTTGGCAACCATTCCTCAGAAATTGAGCATGTAGACCATATGCTTCATTTGGGAGGTATTGAAGTCAAAATAGTAAATGTTGCGCATGGTGTGCAGGCTATAACAGCCATCAGCATATAAATATAGGTAACATTGATGTGCATACATGCAGCAATAGGGTGAGCGCATGAGAACCTAAAAGCTTGAAATCGACCACAATCACACCATATTTTATTCAGATTATCAATATATATTGTAGAATTACCTCCCTCATGTGGTCGAACTAGAGCTTGGACAACGAAATCAGAATCAAGTCTGTCAAAATTGTGGACAAACATTGATGTCGCATGTGTTTGATTCTTTTGCATTGCCTTCTCTAAACCTGGAGCCCAATTTCTCCCATTGCTGATCATGACATCAATTTGTGCACTTTTGTCTGCTCATACTTTACCTAACCTAAAGTAAGTCTCCCTAACAATAATTGCTATCGGGAGATGTCGAGTCCCTTTCAGCACTGAGTTGATACATTCAACAAGATTGGTAGTCATATGGTCGTAACGTCGACCCTCAACATCATATGATTGTGATCATTTTTCCCTTAGTATTTCAGCTGCGAACTCATACACATCATCTTCGTATCTTCTCAAAATTTCAAGTCGTGCACGAAAGTTTGATTGGAGTAAAGCATACCCTAAAAAAGTAACTTATATGTTACTAAAAAAATTAATGAAGTATAAATAATTAATGAAAAATGCTAAGGTATTACCCATGTTGATAATCTCATTTTTTATCTTTTTCTGCTTAAACCTCGTCATTGTGTTGCATATTGTGAGTACTATAAAATTATACGCAAATAATGTGCAAGTATACACAATTGCTCAAGTAATAAAGTGATGAGTGAGTATCGTCTCCACAGGGATTGGAAGGATATTGAATGAAGTTTATGCACTATTCCATCTAATTACAGTTAGTCTTGATATATACAAATGTCACATAAATGGATATGTGTATGCTGGTGGATGTGGAGTGATGGTCTGATGGTGTAGCAAGTGGAAATGCAGTGGCAATAACAGATGTTCAATGTTGGAAATGATGAAATGTCAAGGCAATGAAAAATGGTAAAAACAGAAAATAAATAACAAATAAAATGAAAAGAAGATAATCCTCACGTGACAAGCTTCCAATAGAATGAATGGTAGGGATTGATTTGATGATGCTAAACTTATTTCTCATGCATTTTTAAGTTTTCTGGACTTCACTTACTCGACAGGGATTTCCTAGAGTGTTCTTAAAGGAACCTAATAGAATAGGATGCCAAGGCATCTTCTCTCACTCAACGATGTTGGCCAGCATACCCTATTGATAAATACACCCTTTTTAGTCGTTGAAATCCTATCCTAGTCTCTCCCGAGATCTAAGGGATTAGGTTATAATATTCCTAGGCCGGTTCAAAGCCCCTTGAAAATACTATAACCCATTGCTTATGAGGATCTTGTCTTGTGTTTCTCACGAATACTACAAGTATTTTTAGTTTAGGTTTCTCTCGAACACCTAACCTTCATCTAAGAAATGGACACTCCCATCTTACAAGCCTAGATGGTGAAGCATTCATAAGCAAAGCAAATAAAGAGCCAAGATAAACTTAAATATACCATTAAAATAAAGTTTAAACAACCATAAAACCAACCACTACCAAATAAGTTAGTTCATGGTGGGGTTCAAAATATCCACAAAATAAATCATGAAAATATTCATTCCAACAACCCACAAATAATATAAAAATAACAGCAAAAGGGAAGTGAGAAGAAGCCTTCGACGCGCCACCGGAGGTCTCCTTGGCCACCACGAACCACCTTAGCTCGCTAGCTCCTCTCGACGCCTAGCTCGCCACTCCTTGAAGCTTTATCAATAGAGGAAACCCCAAGGACGAAGAAGGGAAAAGGAAAATAAAAATCTGATTTTTCTGCTACAGTATGTGTCTCCTTTCTTCCACACTCTCTCTCTCTTGTGAGGTGTAATATATAATAAAAATATCTAAGGGTAATGATGAGGTTGTTGGGTGCAAAATACCCCTCATACCCCTAGAGTCACACTTTGTGTGTGAACCTTATCCTCCAGGTGGCAGTGGTCCCATACCAGGTGGTTACAACCATCATTTCACGTGCAGAGCCTGCTGTCCTCGTACAACTGTATCTTTTTATCGTTTTCTGCGCCAGAAATGCCAAGGCATTTCAGTATGCTTCAGCAACGTGTGATGCCACGACATTCCTTCCCAGCTCACCTATTTTTCTTGTTATTTTCTGCACATCACTAAAAACCACACCTTCCTCCTCATATAGCACCTTAATAAAATAAAATAACCCAACCAAAAAAATGCAATTAAATGCAGCTACCTACATCTAAAATGACCTATATGTACCCTTAACCAAACAATAACTTAAGTAAAAAGGGCCTTAAAAATAGTCTTTTTACGGAGTTATCACACCCCCAAACTTAAGCTATTGCTTGTCCTCAAGCAATGGATAACAATTAACACAATCAAAATGTCATGGCAATTTTGAACAGTAGGACAACAAGATAAGAATTGAATTTCAACCCTCAGAAAAATTGGCTTCAACATGCTAGACATATCAAGAATTCAAGTACTTTTCCCTAGGTCAAGATTCTTTATGGTTGTGTATGTTCTTGATTGTATCTAATCTATACTTAACGAATTTAGGCAATTTCTAATTGAGTTCCCTAGTTTTCCCATGACATTTACTCATTCATTAAGCACATTTATACTCCATTTTCACTTACAAAACATTTTTTCTTTTTCTTTCTTTTTTTACGCTGCTACGAAGGGAGTCAGCTCATCACACCTACCATCCCACACTCTAGGTGAAAGGGAGCATACCTTTTACCCCCAAGCTAGTCAGGTAGAGTTATCTCGTAACTACTTTCATTCACTCGTATGAACATGACTGCCATTTATTAAAAGAGAGTTTTAGGCAATGCCAAGACAAAGAGGAGTGTCCCTCTACAGTTATGCCGAAGCATTTATTCATGATTAAACAAAATTCATACATAAGGGAGTTATTAAACAATGATTTATCATTTAAGCATAACACCATATTTTAATGCCAAGGCTAACCAGAGTTCTTTCATAAAAACTTCCTAAGTTCCTTAAGTATAGAGAACATACAAATCGTGTAAGAATAATTCATAAAGCATCAATCCCTAGAGACAGTTCTATCATTCTCAACAGTCATTTACATTCAATTTCTAGCCTAAAAAAATTTCATCATCATCGGGTATCATTAAAACATTTCATCTAACTGCCCTATCATTTACTAATGCCATGACATAATATTATGCTAATATTATCATGCACATGTTCTACATAGAACACTACCTCCCCCAAACTTGAGAGAAGCATTGTCCTCAATGCTGAATAAAAACTAAGTTAAAACTAGACTACATGTTATGCAATGCAATGAAATGCAATGCAAGGTACATTGTCTTCCTAAGATGGTGGTGGAGTCACGTTGGCAGTGCTAGTAGTATTGCGCATGGTGTACTTCCTCAATGGGGTAGGGCTTACGGCAGGGTCAGAATTGGGTTCAACAGGTGGTTTGCTAGGGCCTTCAGTGTTCTTGGATGTTGGGGTCTCCATACGCTCAATAGATGACTTCAGACGTCATCTAGTCCGTGTTGATTGGGTTAACATCATTTGGCTTGGGTGAATTGTCTTGCCGAGTGATATTTGGAAATATCGCGGCATCCTCAAGTACTGGCAAGATTGTGTCCACGATGACTGAAAGATTATAAGCCAAATGTAGGAGCATCTCCATATGAACAAGTGCCACGACTGCGTCTTTTTAGAGCCTCGATTGCATCTAGCTTTGTCGTGGCATATTGGTTTGCAGCATCCTGTGAAGTTCCCTCGTGAGATTTCATCATACTCATCCTCCAAAATACCCTTCGTCCTAAAAAGAAATAATATTAAAAATAAAAATAAATAAAGAAAACAAAG